CTGCAATTAGTTGCATCTCACACATTTTTGGTTCCCCTTTTCCTTTGTGGCAGTGATAGTTATTCTGTCTTTCACAGCAGTGTTTGCTTGCCTTAATAAATGATTACAGTACTATATGGGGTCTTCGTTTAGGAAGAACACGTCATTGAGAAAGTATTGGTAACAGACCAACAGCCTCTGGGCTTTATCATTGTATCATTATGAAAAGGTAGTTTGGCCCATGTTGCCTCTGCCAGTGTGTGATTGTAGTCTCACTTTCCAATTTTATCTTTTGTATCAGAAACCAGTCAATAGCCACATTACTAATTACACATTACATAACACATTAACCAATACACATTCTTTGGCTGGCCAATGTGTCCGCTCAGTGTATTTACTTATTAAGCTTTTAGTGAAGAAGAGCCACTTGATTCCCCTGGAATTAACTCATTGCTCATCTGTTTTTATTTTCTAAGTGTTTGAGGAAACAAAAGTCATAATAAATAGTCCATTTAATGTTTTAGTAGAAAAGTATGCATTATTTTTATATGTATATATTCAGCTTGAAAGGTATTCTTAAACTTAATACATTGTGAATGGATGAACCATTATTTTGGAAGATTTGCGTTTGTAATATCCAATATTGTTTGTGTTTTTATTATTTATACTACATACAGTATACCGACCAAACATTTGTTGGTTTATTGTTCAAACCAGCTTGAGCTGTATTAAAGATGTGAATACAATTGTATGTAGGGCAAATGAAAAGAGCTTGTGTATGTAAACATAATGTTATTGTATAGTTATAGTTATTGTACATTTAACTTTTTTTTGTTAAATTACAGTATAATATCATTTGAGTGAGTTTGACTATTTTTTGAGTCAGTAATTTATACTTAACATTAGTTTCATCCAAATGAGGAAATGTTGCTCTTGGTGCTGATATCTGGCACATTGCTTCCCTGATACAAATGTATTCCTTAAATGGATGTTATATATAGGAGTGGTGAAATTTGGAGCAGCACAGTCAGCAATTCTTTTTTCTAGTGCTGTTTCGAGAAGAGCAAGAGCCTTGCATTAGCAGTGTAAAACTAATGACTGCAGAACCTTGCGGGAACCTAAGAGAAAAGTAGGTACCTGACAGTGCTGTACGTATGGTTAAGCTGAGAGAGATGCTGATCTGAGCAGAGAGGTCCAGCACGAGAGGAATTGCACTGGCAGGGAGGAAGCTGAACAGCAGGGCGCTATTGATGCTTGACAGTCCTTCGAGGCTTGTAGGAGCTCTGTGGAAAACCATCTCCATGATGAAACATATTTTCCTTTCAGCCGTCTTAACTGAAGAATATTGTTACAAATAAGGAATGATAAAAATGTGAACAACAAAAAATGACTGACTGGTTTAATCAATAAGTTAAATTAAGAATCATAACCTCCCTAGTAGATTATTTTGCCAAGAATATACAGTAGTGGCTGGTATAATTAGAGGCACATGAGTTCATTGTCCTCTGACACAGCTTTGGTGAAAGTCGTAATAAATTAGGCACACTGTATTAAACAGCTATTTATTAACAATGACACACACTAAAGTACACACAACATAAGCATACAACACACAAGTTACGCTATTTTCACATTTACACACAAGGCATTCAATAGGCCCACATCCTAACCACTCAGAATAACCAATACTGCCACAAAGCATTCAAGCTCTTTTGCAGTATAACACCTACAAATGAGAGAATAAGATAAAGCTGCCATCTAAACCAAACACAATACAACTTACTGTACACTTTAACTTCTCTTTCTCTTTAAACCTGGATGTTACAAAGTGATGGGAAACCTATCTCCATATTTTAAAATTCAATCACCAACCAGGAAAGACCTTTTTTAACTCTGGGAATTTTTATACAGGAAATCAAAGTTTCCTAAAAACAACGGAATAACAAGGCCTTTTAACAAGGTTCAAATATTTAACTCCAGTCTGGTCTTTATGAATGATGAGGACAAGAGGCTCTCGCTTTCTGCCTTTCTGTCTCTTGTCATCCCTCTTGTCTCTTCCTTCTCTCTTTTTCCCCTACCTGCCTGTTTTATTCTGTCTTCCTGTACTGTTGCTTTACATTTAAATAATTTACCCAGAACTTAATTAACTAAGGTAAACCAAGGTAAACTTTACAATTGCTTTGATCACTGAATCTTGCACTTGTACATCTCAGCAAAGATCTCCTTGATGTGAAGCTGGACAATAACCAGGTGTTACCCATGATAACTATATTCTTAAAGGCACTTTCTGACAATATAATAAAATACAATTCAATATAGTGTAATACTTTTAAGAAAGAAAACACAATGTTCAGGTGATACCTGAAGAAGGCTCCATGGCCGAAACATTGTGTTTTCTTCTCTTTTCAGCATGAAATAAACCTTTTCTTGTTTCATTGCAACCTACGCATGCTGACGCAGCTACCCACCTGAATTACTACAGTAGATAATACTTTTAATATTTAAAAGGAAAGTGATTTAGAGTTCACATCAATGTAAAATGTTTATCTGTGGAAGGCCAAGGACATTTTGTACTGTAAATGCTAACATGCTGTGTTTCTATTACTTCATAACAAACACAAAGTGATGCAGTTGTGTTTTTTTTTTCTAATTATTCTAATGAAGGATTAGTAGTTTCATTTGCAGGATTTCTGTACAAACAAGGGCGTGCTTGCCACACATCATTTGGATATAGATTGGCATCTAGCTCCCTGAGTGAGTGACATTAGAAATATGGATTTGCAGTGCTCAGGCCCTGCTGGGAGAGAGTGTGTTTGTTATGCACAAGAAGGTGGAAAAATGGTATAAATGGCTTGGAGGAGGTACACAGGCAATTGGCTGAATGACTAGATCAGTGCGTGTCTGGCTGCCTGCCAGATGCCTGACCCATCCTATCAGGTCTGCAGAGGTGTTTGTGTAGAGGGACGTTTTCCACCTAACCAACTGTAGAGGAGAACATAGCTAACTGCAGCTGACACATTCCAGTGCAAGGATTCCACTCCAAGACCAAGACACTTGTTATAACACACGTTGGAAAGGCTAACGACTGGTTCCTGGTCAGATTGTGTTAACAATACATTTGTCAAATATTTCAGGTGGGTAGCTGTGTCAGCATGCGTAGGCTGCAAAGGAACAAGTAATAGGTTTATTCCATGCTGAAAAAAAGAAGAAAGAGAACACAACGTTTCGGCCGTGGTGACACCTGAAGAAGGCTCCACGGCCGAAACATTGTGTTCTCTTTCTTCTTTTTTTTCAGCATGGAATAAACCTATTACTTGTTCCTTTGTCAAATATTGCCATTCTCTGATCCTGTATGTACTGTAGCTGCCCATGCCAAAGACTGTTTCCATCTGTAATTTTTAATCATCCTCTACATTGCTATTACAGTTATTATTCTTATTAACATAGTGATCCAAGGGGAATGTTCTTTACTTTGTTGATTTTTTTGTAATTTTTTATGTATTTTTATGATTATGATTATTGTCTGTGGTACTATAAGTCCATAATCATGGATTTTATTTTCTTCTGCAAATCAGATTACCTTTAATCTTTCAGATAATAAAAAAAGACTGTTATTAATGTGCTACAGTAAGCTGCATTTGCTTGCTAGCACATTCTGGCACAGTCTTTCTCAGTGGTAACTTCAGTACCAGCTAGGCAGCAACCTGTCACAGTAGCAGCAGGTCTGGTGTTAGTGGCTCTTAACCTGTTCTTCATAATACTTCCACGGGTTCAGTTCTCTTCTGTGGTCATTCTGCCTTTTGACCAGCTGATAGAAAGGGTATTGCTCATATTGACAGGAGGTCAAGACATTTTCAATTCTTTCTTGATGTCTTTCTGGCAATCTGATACTCACATTCAAAAACAGAACAGGGAATATGCAGCATATAAAAAACTGACCAGACATTAAGCAGCAGCCACTGACAAGATGATCAAGGGTATATTCTTCAGAAAAATAATATGAAGTGCAGTGAACAAGATGAGATAAAGCATTGCGTCACCCATGAGGTGTCAATATCTTGCTTGGCAGTCAGCATGCAAACACAGAACACTGCACCTGAAAGATGCACTGCCATTCCCTTCCCCACTCAGGCACAGTGTGTCTGTGCTGGGGGTTTCATAAGCTTTAGCTAGGATACATTCCCACCATGTCTTTGATAGGCATGCATTTAGCGTAGTTATGAATGGTGTCTGCTAGTGACAAGATAATTGAAATTAGATTTGAAAGTGTTTATTATCTACAAACAAGGATCTGAAACTGGGAGCCTCAGCTTGGCTTCGCACAGATGATATTTTAATACCAGGACATGCACATACATGAAGCTGTATAACGCAGATATTACAGGAATATGCTGGAACAAAACAAGAGTTTTGTGGGAGAACATCTTGGGTGGCCCGCGATTTGGGAGACAGAGGTTATTTGTGGTGTTCTCTCAATAAATATCCATCCATCCATCCATCCATTTTATAACCGCTTTATCCAATACAGGGTCGCAACACTATAAATATATAAAAAATAAAGAGATCAACAGTATTGATTTTGAAGTCTCTTGCCAAATTGCTGGAGCCAAAAATGTGTAGTTTATGATGCAGGATTGACATCAAATGCACAGTAATCTAGAATCAAATCCCCAAGTAGAGGATTTAGCGGGCAGCAGTGGAACTGTTTTTCTGCATCACAGCCAGACCTGCATTTGATGTGCTGTGCATTGTCATTTTCTTTACTGAGGAGGCTTGTGCTAAAAGATGGAGCTCTTCATGGGTTTACCAGCGTGAGAGTTGTGTGTGTGTATGTTCAATCAGGCTAATTAGGGGGAAAAATGATTCATGTTGAGTGCTTGGTAATTGCACTGAAAATTGCAGGATTTCCGTGGGATACTTGACCAGAAAAAAAAGTATTGCAAATGTAATGCGAGTGCCAACCGGGACACAATCAAGATTGTCGGTTTTTGACTCCCAGGTTTTCTCTCTTTCCCCAACAGGTCGACAGACGTGTCCTCCTGAGAAATTCAGCTGTGGGGGGTCCTCTAATAAGTGCGTGTCATTATCCTGGCGCTGTGATGGAGAGACAGACTGTGAGAACGGTGCAGACGAGGCTGGGTGTTCGTCTGGTAGGTGTGGCTGAGGGGTTCACTTCTGGAAGCTCCAGATAAGCTTGTGCTGTGGAGACAAAGTGAAGCGGTTGCAAAGGGCTGCAGAGCAATTTCGATCAGGGAGCGCGATAAGAGTCATAGGTTTTCTGAACCGAGGCAAAGAAAGAATGAGGTGGGCGTTGCTGATTAGTATGAGAGCCCGCACTGCCAAGCAGACCCATCTGTGCGAGACCGTCAGAGGCGCAATGGGTTTCCACCCCAACGGCATCACCTTGATCAATTGTTTTTGACACCCTGAGCGAGGGAAAGCACGATTCAGCTTCTCAGAACTAGAGCAAATTCTCATATTGAGCATGTTTGAAATCTGTCTCTGTAAATAATGGTAATAATAACCAGGACCATGCAATCTCTTCCTCTGCTGATAACGGTGAAGACATTGTGCTCTGCTGCTTAACTGTTGGTGTGTGCACAGCTGTAGAACTTGTGGAGGTACTTTTATCATGCAGACAGATCACTGAAAAGCAGAGTCTTAAAGGTATTTCACAATTTGATAGACAATTAATAAAAACAGTATTGAAGTTTGCATAAAACTGACCTATAAAACCATTGATTGTTCCAAGCCTTTAAGAAGGTCCTATAAATCATAGATTTCACTATTGCCTCTTAATGTTTAGATCAGTGATATTCAGATTGGAGTGGTTCAGAAGGCACATGAGTGATCAGCACTAGCTGAAGAACTGTGTGAACAGTCGTAAACAACTACAGTATAAAATAAACATTAATTTACTATGGTACTAAACATATTTATGCAGCGTGGACTTGGAAATATGTTTTTCTAGCAGTCGAATGACTAACCAATTATTCTTCAAACTTCAATTAAAGCAGTAAAAAGTGAACGTGAAGCATGTGAACACTTGAAATCTGTATTGTGAATCGAATTATGCCAACACAAGTGTTCTAATCTGCATGCCTATCAGTTTAATATCTGGCTGACTACAGTCTGTGTTTTTAAGAACTCTGAATAGGCTATTTGAAATCAGGTCTCATCATATCATCTTCTCTGTTCAAGGATTAGTTTCTTGTGCCTGTCATAGCAACTCTGGGATTGGGAGTTCATCTGGTTGTTCTTTTCTTGACAGATTCTAGAGTAGCATTGAATTGTTCTGGTATTTTCATCTTCCTCGCTGCACAGGTGATCTGGCAAAGAAGCATTGTGAATCTGACATGAGAAGCATTGGTGAAATGTGTTTTCCAAATTCTTCCATTAGTGACATGATAGCTCAGCATCTGACAGCAGTTGGTACTGTAAGTGCTCCTTTCGCAAAACAAAGCCAAACTACCTTTTCAATGAAATTAGCAGGTGTAGGAAGACCCGATCGTGACTGGGGAGGTGGTAGACGTGAGAGGATACAGACTGTCAATTTTAAAAAGGCTTGCAGCTACAAGAGGTTTATATAGTAAAGCAGTGAGATTGTATTATTTCCATATTCTAAATTGAATGAGATAACCCGGAGCAGAAAAGACTAAGAATGTAAGAGTCTTAATACATAGCTCAAAATAGGGTATTTTGGAAAAGTGGTGCTTAGAGACTTTCAATCCTCTTTTTAAAACTATGCACAAGAAAAGTACTGAGGTTATGACAGTTAATACCTTTACTCAACCTGGATATATTGAGCTGTAGTCACTATATGTCAAATATTTATGTGACACTTTTCAACTTCTTGCTGTAAGCACTGTGATGGCTTTTGCAGTTTATCTTGTGATTTCTGCTGGTTTGCATGAAATTGAGTAACAGCCTTGCATCAGTGCACCAGCCAGCCCTGTAACAGGAATTGTTATTCCAGCGGGGAGCTGTCAGTTGGGGGTGTGGAGCCTGGTATCTTTCCCTATGTACAGTATGCCAGGAGCCTTTTCTCCTAATGTTTCTTCATGTCACCACCTTGGAAGTAATATATCTTTTTGATACCTGTCCCTGTTTTACTTGGAGCACACTAAACTGGACTGCTAGGAATATTCATTTCTCCTAATGCCACTTTAATTATAAATGTCTAATCCTCCTTTAATGCTGTTAAACACAGCTGACTTATGGGTTTTATTTCATATTCTCTGTGTTACCAGGAGCTTTGGGTATCTGGGTTTCTCTAAATAGTTAACAGACAATTTAGGTGTTTTGCTCCTACAGTGACACACTTATCCACATCTGATCTAATCTCCATTTCTCCATTATTGTTTACCCAAAGCGGAGCACTAATCAATGAAATACATTATGCATAGGATCAATTGTTTCGAGCTGTGAATTATTGTGTGGACTCAGATTATGCCATCACAGTGGTATCAAACCCTTCTAAAAATGTTATTGGTTGAAATTGAACTTTATAAGTGCAAAAAAAAGAGCAATCAGAAATTGTCTTTAAAAGCAATTGTACAGGTTCTAATTCATGCCACCCTAGTAGAGAACTGAGACTAAGAAAAAGAGATCAGCCAATCTTGTTTTGTTGTTTCACTGCGTTTGTAATCCTCTACTGTCTTAGGAAGTGTTACACTACAGGTTATAATTGTTGCTTTGTTGCTTTCTTGTTGTTTCATATTGATCCTGTAAACAGTTTTAGATAATCTTATTTTATTTTTATTCCTAGGGGCAGGGCCTTGAGGTTATAAAGCATTATCAATATTATTGAATTGAATGGGTAGATGAGACTTGGTAATATCACAGTAATATTTTACAGAATTCTTGATGAAAATTGATTTTCTGCCTCACTTTTCTGTGTAGTCTTACCTTCTCAGGTCTCATTAGCTTCAAAGAAGGCTTTCTTTAATTTATATTTAAAAACACATGGGGATTGCTGTTTTTATTCTTGTCTTTTAATGAACTCACTGGGCTATAACTGTTTGAAACCATAACAGGGACAATGCTGCTGTAGTTATTTTTCAAAAACGGTCCCTGGTTAATTCAGACTTAGTTTCACTCATAACAAGTAAAGAAATTTTCTTGAATATATTGCTTATTCTTCCGTTGCAGAGGAAATGCACCTTTTTCTCCTAAACCTGAGATCTTCACACAGAATCATTCACATTATGATAAGAAGTAGATTCCCACCAGTTTAGTTCATACATTTTCTGCGAAGAAAGAAAAGATTTAGTCATATCTTTTAACCCACCCTTGTCAAGCCCTGACTGAATATTTCCAAGGTTTGGTTTTTTAACATTTTAAAACTATAAGAACTGTTACAAAACAGCCGAGGCAATTTGCTCTTAGATTTGGTAGTTACCATTTGGTTGATAATTGATCCAAGGATCTCATCCAGCTGCTTCTTGAAAGCAGCCAGGTTCTTGGGTTAAAAAACATGACAAGGTGGCTTGTTCTGTGCTCCCACTTGCCTTTGAATAAAGAAATGCCTCCTCTCTTGGTTTTAAGTGAACTTCTGTGTAATCTGCTGGGCTGACTTGATCGATGCCTTGGAGGATTTTGAATACTTGTATCCGGACCCCTTGTAGTCAGTGTTCGAGACTAAAATGGTTCAGTTCTTTCATCCTGTAGGTAAGACATTCCCTTAAGATCCTGAATGTGGTTGCTCTTCTCTTGACTGATTCCAGAGCAGCAATATCATTTCTATAACATTGTGAGCGAAGTCGTACACACAATTCCAAATGAGGCCTTATTACCGCGTTATAAAATTTTAACATAACCTTCCTTAAATTCTTCACATATTAAGTATACGTATATCCATTTTTTTGTTTTGTCTCCTTGTATTGTGATGAAAACATAAAAGATTCTGTACAGTACGTTCTGTGCTGAACAACGAAGAAATAAAAACACAAAGGTATAGAAATCAGCACGGCTGGGCTGTTTGTGTGGTAAAAGGAAGTGTCAATTTTAATATTCTTTGGATGAGAAAAAAAGCTTTCTCTGTGCTTTGTTTTTTTTAGTGAAAATAAATACCCAAAATATGACAATAGCCCAAAATCTCGGTGTGAAAAATAGACGACGCCAACAAAGAAGTCTGGTAGGTTGCATTGATGAATAATGAATAATGTATGTCCTGATGTTAATTTAAATCTGACAAAAGAGAGGCTGTACCTTCCTCAGCTCCACCAGCTTTGCCATGGAAATCCCTTCCCCTTGAATCTGGATACTGTCATCCTCCCCCCAGGCAGCTCCCTTCCTCTTGCATGTGGTTTTTAAAATTAATCAGTTTTGCTTATGGACTTTAACCATTTGTTAAGTTATGCAAAAATCGGCAGACTAGTTCTTTATTACCATTACAAAATGCTACGAAAATAGTTTACCACCTCTTAATCTGCAATAATATGCAGTCGTGTACATTTAAGCTTGAAGGCCATGTTTTACCAGGGGGTGGGGAAAAATGGTGCTGTAAGATGTGCGCTGATCAGAAACTGGTTGAAAAGTCTCCTCCTGAATGAATGTTTCTTGTTCTCGTCCTGCTTCTTAGGTTTATTGTGATGAGAGTTAAAACTCCAAAGGATGCAGAGGGGAGTGATGATCCCAAGGAAGGAAATCTGGAGATTAATTAAATGTAATTAGAAGAATTAAAAAAGAGGGATTGCAGGCTGCAGTCTCTTATACCTTCCTCGGTTATTGTTAAATTGCTCCAGTAAATGCCTTGCTGTGTAACTGGGATCTCCCTAGATCATTTCCTGAAATGAGATGTACGCTTTAAAGCATGTATGTTTTAAATCTTTCAATATGAACGATACAGATACAGTACATTAATATGCTGTTACATTACTACAGTAATCACATAATTTTGAAAAGCACTAAATAACAATTAAAAGCGATGCTTTTGGCAAAAGCCTTTCATTTTGCATAGGTGTTCTGACATATAGTGGCTATGTTGTCTTAATCAGGTGAGTTTCTCTGCTGTCTTTTCAACATTCTCACCACAGCTGAAGGATGTCACTAGTGGATGACAAACAGTGTAAAGCAACTAAATGGATCTGTCTCTCCGAGGCATTGATTCTCAGCCTTTTCCATTCCGCAGCCCACTTAAATAAGTATG